AGGAAAATTTCAAGAAAAATAAATATTTAACATTATCCTCCCGTCCAGCTAATAATTTTTGTTCAAGTGGAGATGAAAGTGGAGAGGAAAGGTTTACCAAGGTCAACAAGATAATGGAATATCTTTTAAAGAAGAAGGATAAACAAATGAAGCAGTTCGTTCGTAAAGAAAGAAGAAAGAAAAACAGATTAGCAAGTTTGTTAGAAAACAGAAAAAGAAAGAAACTACATCAGAAGGATAAGTAAAGCCAAAAGAAAGCAAACTTTACAAAGATCTATCCAAAAAATATGTAAATAAAAAAGAAAGCTGCAAATGCAAACTTAGTGACTCATGCACTATACTTGAAGAAAATAAGTATATTTGTCTTAGCAGCTTAAGTTCATGAAAGAAAAAACCACCCCCCTAACTCCAATGAAAATAAGATAAATGAGCATTCATATTGTGAGTTATCAAACGCTTTGGTGATTTAGTAACTGATTATAAAATTTTGAAAAAGAAGCGTTTTTTTTATTATTATTATTAAGAAGTCATCTGGATTTATTAATATCATCAATAATTTGAAGTAAAATGTAATGATAGGCTTAAGAATGGCGTTATATATCTGAATGGTAAATTAGATAAGGTCATATGCTTGCATTTAAAAATAAAAGGCTTAAATAAGAACTTAATTATTTAATCACTTTTCATTTTCATGTGATGATCATGATGTTAAGAATTTACACATTAAAATTAAGTCAATTGAGGATGAAAATGCTAGGAAATTAAAATGAATGACTTATGCATTGTCTCAACTATCACATTTACAGCAAGTTGTACTCATTTTACGCAAATTACACATGTTTCATGTCAGGCATCAAAGCTGAAGGATACATATACAATGATAAAGCATATTAGTAAGTGACTGGTATAAATATAGCACAAAACTTTCATACTGGAGCCACACTTTATGTCGGTTCAGATATTTAAAAACCTTCAGTTTAGTCCTATACATTTGGACCACACTTGATGTAGATCCTTCAATTAATATCTGTCAATTGATAAAAGATGACACAAATAATAACAATTTTTCCTCCTTCCCCCTCTCTTCATTTTATGTAGAAATAACCTCTTCTTCTCTCCCTCTCCTAATAACAGTTCTCTCAGAGAATAACGATAATTTTCGGCTCCAACGATACAAACACACCGCAACTAAATTCTACAGATGTTATTTTGGACATCCATAAACAGTATGAACTATTAGTAAAATAAAAATATTATAGAACTGCACCTCCTTCAGCTTGTGAGGAGCTCATCACCACATGCGTCCTCCACCTCCATGATTTTTTCATCTGCAGTTGCACCGACATCAACCACCCTAGACATTAAAGCGTCCCCTTCATCTTAAAGAATTGCACCAACTCCTCTGCATTCGCTAGCAAAAGAACCAAATGCAGCTTTAAAGCTTACAGCTTTGCACCTAGCCACTGTTTGGAATATCATACTAAGCCTGAAGTATATTACTTTCACTCTAGCATCATAATCTCATTGTGCTCACGAGTTTAAATGCTTAAACATATATTATTACCTTTGACTAAAGCCATATAAGCTTCCCTTGTGAATTGTTTTATAATGTCCAAAATAATTAGAACCAGCTAGCACCGGTTCAACTGAAGCAACACTAGACAGTTCGTGACATTACAAAATAAAAAAGAAGACAAAAAGGAGATGTTGAGGGACATGAAGTGAAAAGGAACAGTTGAATCCCACGACAATAAGGACTGGAGGAGAGGAGACTGCGTATCAGTTGTGAAATAGAGAATGAAGAACAGCGAAGTCGAAGAAGGCGAGCTCGGCGAAAGAAAGGAGATCAAGTGAACACTTTTGCACAATCTCAAATGAACTCGAAGTTGTGACGCAGAATTGGGCCACGAACAAAGGATTGAACGTGCAAACGAGAGAGACAAAGAATGAGAGTTGAGAGCGTAGTGAGAGAGGTGGAATATGAGAGATCGAGAGCAAACATGTATGGCGTGAGTGCTTGAGCAACATGCTTGAGTCAAGTAGCAGAATGAGAAAAGGGCAAGTAGAAATCACAAGCAAGTTAGCTATGGGTGCTCATGTTGATCGCGAACAAGGTGACAATGTAGGTATTAGCACGAGCAAGCATCAAGTGCAAGAGCAATCAAATTTGTGTAATGCAAATAACTAGCGCGTAGCGAGAAGAACATAAGTTACGATTAAGCAACGTTAGAATGTAAGTATTAGCGTGACCAAGCAATGAATGTAAGAGTACGCGATTGTGCTCAAGGCCAAAAAAGAGCACTAAGGGATAAGAAGAACATAAGTCAAGATTAAGCAAAGTTAGAAAACTTTATGGAATTTGATAATTTAAATTTAGTTTAGTTATAAATAAGTAATATTTTGAATATGGATCTATGATATAATGAAGTAGGTTAAGAAATTTAATTAATAAAACTTAAATATTATGATAACACAAATTTAATAAGTAAATCCACAATAAAAAAAAAAAACATGGTAAAAATTAAAAATATTGAATTAAGAATTTTAAATATAAGTAATAATCTATTTATGAAATAAAATATAATATAAATTAATGCAATGTTTATGCATATATATTAGTGGAATAAATTTTAATGTATAAATTATAAAATTATATAAATTTTAAAAGTAATGTCAAATCTTGTAAGTTAAAAATAATAGTATGTTAAAGAAGAAATTGAAAGATTCAAAAAAATAATGATGCATGAGTATATATAATTGAATAAAAGGAGTTTAATCAAGCATATTAAAGCAAATCATATTATAGTCACACACACAGAGATATATATATATATATTATACACACACTAAATTAAAAGTGTGAAATATCAGTATCGCTTAATTCGATAGCAGTACACCTTTAGCATGATTTATCCATTGTATATATTGATTATATTGAAATGAGCATCATAGATATCTCAATAAGTTTACACTTATTATAGATATTGATGTATATGTGAAAATGTTGTATGATATGAGAATGATAATGAAATGAATTATAGCGATTGCATGTGTAGTTGGCTGGTGGAGTTTACATTCTTATAATATCAATTGGGGGCGCTAAAGTACACGTACAAGTAAAATGAAAAAAATATATATTAATATTGAAGTATTTTAATTGATATAATTTTATATGGTTATCATATGACAAATATAAACAATAGAAATAAAATAAGATAGTGTACAATATGATAAAATGTTTTGAACCTTCTTCAATGATGATAATTAAATAATAAATTATGAATTATTTTTATATTGATTCATTATGTTGACTAGCATGCATGTTCTTTTTTTTTCCGTTATATTACTTTAATTTAGAAGTATCAAAGGGTTGTTGATAGCTCACCATATTTAACTAATATTTTCAGGTTTAAATCTTGACCTAGAAAATGAGTGAAATGAGAGAAAAAATTTATAAAAAACGCAAATAAACTAATAAATGATAAATTTATTCATGATTATTTACTTTCAAGTAGATTTAAATTTTATCTTATTAGTAGCCTATAGACATGTGATTATTTGGATTACTTTTATTAGATAGTGATACATGTTTGATTTTTAAAGCTATTCTTGATCTAGTAATTCTAAGCCCCTAACTGGGGTCATAACAAGTTTATTTAAATTCACTTATTCAAATGCCTTAAATCCTTTTATATTGTAATGTGCATTATAAAATTATTTAGCCATCCACATTGTACAGAATTTAACTTGAAGTGTTCCAAAATAAATTATAAATGTCAGTTGCATGCCCAATTCACCTCCCCGACTCTCCTTTTATGTGTGTTTAAACTCTTAAAATTTGAAATAAATGTCTACATGAATTATTGAATGCCCATTCTAACATGCAATGCTAATGGAAAGAGTCAAATGCCCCTATTGCTTTCCATGAGATTCTTAACTTGCAAATAAAACAAACGCTTCCATTTTAGAAAGCAAACAATCATATCCTTGCCTAAAATTTATAATGTAACTATCCATTTGCTATTGATTGTATAACCATACGAGGCAAAAATTTTGCATCTACTTAACATCTTCAATTACAAGAAAAACCAAAAAAAAATAAATTTCTTGCAATGCTTCAAGGCATGATAAACCATAATACAGTGCAGAAAAATTGCCCAAACATAAAAGCAATAAGCTATTACTTAAGCTAATTAAACAAGGTTTACTGAAATTTTATAAATAAAAACACAAAAAAGTTGCTCCCACTAACTACCCAAAAATGCCCTTCAAGTGGTTGGTATAGTTATGATTGGGCCCTTTAAGGATGTATTCAAATAATAGAACTGTGTTATTCTTTTGTTTTTAATTACTTGCATCTTTCTCGCTCCAAGGATCATGCAGAGTTTTAACATTCACTTATCATTAAGGAAAAGAAACTTACAGGGCCTCAATTTTAAACAATTGAGCTATTGTATGGCATGTCAATGTCAATATCATAACAACGCAAGGATTTCCACTAACTAGAAAATAATAGGAAATGCCGACATGATTGAATAAGTTTCATACTAAGCAAGAACAAAGACAACATTTATAGTTATTTCATCATCGCCCACAATAGTCTTATCCTAACTATTTGTAGTTAGTTTTATGACTAGTCCTCATTGTCAGATCTATTTTGTGCAAGTTTTTTTACAAAACCTACTTCTATACATGTTATCTTGAGTTTACTCCTTTTTTTCTCAAAGTCTATCTAACAATATTTTCTAAAAAATAAGAGCTAATAATCATTCACAATCCATCCTCCCTATTTTAGTCAAGCATTCATTTTTATATTTTTATTTTTCATACAATCAACATAAATATCAATGACTTCTTTTAATACGCAGGTCAAACTATAGAAAATTTTATATCACCATCTGTAACCAAACAAAAGAAAAAAAAATAAAACAAAAATTTCACATGAACTGAAGGAAAAAAATGAACAACAATGGAAATTGAAATGAAAGTACTAAATGTACCCCTAAGAATTTGAAGAACTGTCGACACGGCATCCGTAGGGGGCATTGTTTCAAAATTGTGAGCTGCTTCACCTGCAACAAGAGCAATCAAGAGAGGACCTCCAGCTACAGTAGCATAACTGTAGAATAGAAAGAACTCTCCTCTACGGCTTGGATCTTCAGATAAGTGTCCAAAAGTATCAAAATCAGTGCTCCAAAAAACATAGGGAAATAACATAGCAACTTTATTCAATAAGCCGAATCCCAATCTCCTAATTCCATCCAGCTTTCTCTGAGGGAGCTCAGGTGAAAACTTTATCGATCCATTCTTAAGAACCCCAAGTGAAACTGTGCAAAGGGCCATGTCCCCTTCATAAACCTGGCCCCCTGCAATAACTTGCACTCCATCAGCACCATATCGAATGGTGTGCACAGTCTTTTCATATAGTATTGGAACATTTTCAGCTAGAGCCTGAACAAAGCGTCCATTTCCACCTGGCAAGAAACAGTGATCACCACCCATATCATAGGGGTCATCCTGATCCCAAAAAGCTAATGACAACTTTGAAAGGAGCCCAGCATTGGCATATTCCAAATTTGCCAAATGCCAATTGAACAAATTCATCTCTTCATCTGTCACAGCATCACCATAAACCTGCCTGAAAACCTCTAAGGAAGCTCCAAGAGATACATCCATGGCAATCTCCCCCATGGACTGCCTTAGCCTGCTAGTTTTTTCCAAAAGCCGATTGAAAGCATTCTCAACTTTAATATCCACATCAGGATTTACAGGCTTACCATCAGGTCTATACAAAGGGCATTTATCTCTAACCTTATGAAGAGAGGATCCCAGCTGCTTACAAATAATTCCAAGAGGGTTTCCAAGCGTACCTGTCAACACACTCCCACCAAGATCAGCAGCAGCAAACTTGTTTCCCCCTTCCATCCTTTTAGTATAAACCCTACCTCCACTTCTCTTTCTCCCTTCTAAAACCACAACTTTGAACCCAAAACACATCAATTGTCTTGCTGAAGCCAGCCCGGAAAGACCGGCGCCAATGATAATGACATTAGGTTTTGTGGGCTCAGCCGGAATTTTCTCCTTAATTGCAGGGGCTACCCCGAAGTTTACATAACCATGTGAAACTAAGAAATCATAGGCAGAATTCAACAGCACCCCGCAGTGGTCTGGAATCACACTTGCCAAAAAGTCCTTGGTGAGCCAATTCGAGACGCTCTCCCTCCACCTAGAGAGAATGTGGTTGCGGATTAGAATGTAGTTCACCTGCTCAATTCCGCCAATCGAGGAGATGACGCCGGCTTCGATCTCCTCCTCGGTAAGGGAGTCTGCAGGGAAACCAGCAGTGAGGGCAATGAGAGCCTCGTTGGTGGCCTCCCTGTTGATGCAAATGATCTCTTCGAATAAATCAGATGGAAGATTGGGTTTCTCAAGGGGGTTTTTGATGGAATTGGCGGCTTGTGGTATCAGTGACGGTTGAAGTGGGGTAGGAGGAAGAGGAGCGTGCCATTGAACAGTAGAGGAAAGCGAAACTTTGCGGCGGACTCCGGTGCGCTTGCGCTTGCCGTGGAAGGAGACGTGGAGGTCGTAGTTAGAGCTAGGGTTTTGATCAGGAGTTGAATTGGAGAGAAAAGTGGAGAATGGGAAGGAAAGAAGAGGATTTGGAATTTGGAGAGAGAATTGGGGATTGGGGTCGGACATTGGATTGTTCTAAAAGAGCTCAAAGTTGAATTGGAGAGAAAAGTGGAGAATGGGAAGGAGAGAAGAGGATTTGGGATTTGGAGAGAGAATTGGGGATTGGAGTCGGACATTGGATTGTTCTAAAAGAGCTCAATCGTACCTCTCCACTTCTACTTCCTCAGTAACATTTCGCTTGGCGGGGATTGCAGCTGCATCGCGAGGAAATTCTCCCCGAAGGAATTGAAAAAGCCAGCTGAAATGTCTCATGATATATTTAAATACTTTCACTTTTAATTTTTTAAAATAAGATCAAAATTTATTTCGACTAAAATATCTTTGTTACATTTAAAATAAATCATAAAGAGTGAGTAAAAAGAAAAAATTTATTTCGACTAAAATATCTTTGTTACATTTTAAATAAATCATAAAGAGTGAGTAAAAAGAACATTTGGACCGAAGGTCCATTTCTTAGTAGTTAGATGACTGTAACTATAGTTTGTTGTGATAAAAATGAGGAAAAAAGAAAAATCCAAAGTCTAAAATTATTGAATCATGATTTATTCCTGAATTTTACCCCCAACTATTAGAATGCAAAAGAGGAGAGAGAGACAGAGAGAGATAAATAATATTGAATAGTAACAAATATTATCTATTAGTTTTCTCACTTAAAATGATATAATATATTATATTATATTTTGGTCTCTGCTTTAATGAAGGTTGTACAGTCTATTCTAGATATTTTACTTGTATGAGTCTATTGCTTAATTGCCCTATAATTCAGCTAGTTGGGCTAGCATAACTTCAACTCGGTAAGGTTAGTTTGGTTAGCTAGGCAGAGTAGGTGTAGCCGATCGACCTGACTTGATTAGTGTTGAGTCAACAGGATTGGCTCAGTTAGCTAGACTTTGTTAATCAGACCTAGTCTGACTATCGACCCTCGATCCCTGGATGGGGACCTCCTATCGGCATAACAAGACTAGGCTATCGATAAACTGATAAATAGCTCATTTCTTAATGAGAGAATCCTTCATGGTGATTTTGAGGCTATATTGTATTTTCAATTCTTTGGAATGATTGTAAGAATCTAGCCTAATAGATTTGCACTTTGGTCATTCTTTTGTCCTTCTTTGACTCGGTTAGCCTTCATCTTTGCCTTGGATGATTGCATCCAATTGGATAAGTGAGCCTCTTTGTCTCATGTCGTTGAGCCCTCCTTTGTTGAACTTCCTTTCTTTTGTACTATTAAATCTCCTCAGGATCTGCACTGGCGCATTCTTAAAGTGCATATTTTATTGCCCCGATTATATTACTTGTTGAAAGTAACATTTCCCCAAGTTTAAGAGAATTAAATAAAAGTTAGATATCATTTATTTTATAATATGAGCTTCAATACTTAAACTCTCTGGATTTTCGTGCTCATGATTCTTATAAATAGGGAGTGACGGGACTCTTTTGATATTTTATATTTGTTTTGCATCTCTTTGTCTGCATCGGTTGGCTTCCAAAAAATTTTATAGAGAACATAAATCCCTCCCAATGAGCTTTAGAGCAGAAAGATGATGTTTGCCACTTTTGTGAAGTTGACAACACAATGATGTCTAGAAGGTGAGAAGAAGAAGAAGAAAGTCACTACCAGTAAGCATAAAATAGGCGAGCTTGTAGATTAAGTGGGTTGTCTAAACTCTTTTCATTATTCTTGGTGGAGGAAAAATCTAGCAGATGATGGAGGTGGATTGGGCGGCCCGAGTGCCAATTCATTAGCTTAACCTCATACAACAGCTCAAGACCGGCCAACTGATAAGACTGTACAGGAAGCTGCTAGTGCTCTGTCATCACCCAAGGCGCAAGAGGCTAAGGTTGTTATGCCACCTCCCATCTCATTAAGAGCATAGTGTCAATCGCAGGGACCTAGTTGGAGGAATTCCTTGGAATGAAAAGTATTGTCCTTATTTATTACGTTCAATTTTTTGCTTTTTTTTTCTTTTTTTTTAACGTTGTCTTTGGTGCAGTTGAGTCGAATGTTCTTGGAGATGATTCACCTCCAACATGCACTGATGAGGACTCGACCGTGGTGTCGGAGACTACATCAATAGACTAGATAAAAATGAGGATGGTCGGGTTGATCACCCAATAAATCCTGCCAAAACTCACTGGCAAGCGACTGATGGATGTCAGACATCATCTGGATCCCTAGCTCGCTGGCTTGAGGAGATTGAGATTTTATTCACTCAAACGACTAGGATCCAGTTGTTGACCTCATTTTTGGTTGATGTCTAGTTTCCTCCTTAGTAACTTAGGGTCTAGCCATATGAATTTCCTGTTGACCATTCTTATAGGACTAGAAAAGGAACCCTCGCCATTAGAAACTCTAAACTCTTCTTTGCTCAACTTGAAGTTCCACATATTGGTCATAACCTCTAGCACTTAGTAGGTGGGGTCAATGTGAGAGACCTTAAGGGGAGACCCCATAGGACTACTTGGTCTCAGGGTTAACCCTGGGTGGTTTGGTCTTGGTTAGTTTCACATACTTGCACATTACACTTCCACTCACAACATTAAACCCAAGCATGTTTAGCTTTGATCACTTAACCCTTTGAGAGACTCATGTAGATGGCCCTCTAGGCCACTAGCCCTAGGCTAGGGTTTAGCTAAGACCAGTACATGTAGGACCCAAAGTCGAGAATTCTATTGGTCCATAGCTCAAGTAGGGTGGTTGACACCCAATTTTATCAAAATACCCAACTTAGCATTTTGCTCTCAAATCTAGCTAATTTACCAAATTACCCTTGAAACCCAAAATTGACCAAAATTCCCAAAACAACCCAAGATACCCAAGTTTGTTAAAAAATCATCTCAAATCATTTGATACCACCCAAATTGTCCAAAACGCCCCAAAAAATTTCAAAATTACCAAAATACCCCTGATTTATCAAAACTACAAAAATATCCTGGCAACCCAAATTGTCCCAAAACCTTCAAATCATTTTAAATGTTCCCAAAATAAATTTAAACCACTCCTATTTTGACCAAAAGCCCCAAATAGTCTTTAAAGGCCCAATTATCCTAATTCACCGACAATGTCCACCAATTTGATCCCAATCTTCCCCAAATTCAATTCTAAACTCTAATTCATTATGTACAAGCTTGCTTGAAACCAAATACAAGCTCAATTAAATCCAATTTCAAACCCAATTTCAATCTTAATCACAAAATCCCCAATTTGACCCTAACCCAAAGTTTCACCTAATTGAATCCCCAAACCTATCCAATTGCTCCAATTTTGAATCATAAATTCTTTACAACACTTCTCACATCAAATTGAACCTTCAATTGGTCTTGGTCAAGCCCCAATTTCACTCAAAATCAACTTGGACCAAACCCCCCAATTTTGCCGCAAATTAGCCATGTCCCCAAATTCCACCAAATTGAACTCCATGACCCTAAAATTTCCATCCAATTGATATACAAAACTATTCATGACAATCACCCACATCAAATTGAACCATTAATTGGGCCATAACGAAACTCTAGCCCAACTCAAAATAAAGTCTAACCCAACATACCCAAAAATTGACCATGAGTCAAAATACTTCAAATTGAACTTCCAAATCAGTTCAAAATCACTCTAAACCTTTCTAAACTCCTTGCAACAATCATCTACACCATTTTGGCCAATTAATTGAGCTCAATTTCATGACTAGCCCAACCTAAACCCAACTTCAAGCCAACATGCCCAAAATTTAACCCATGCACCAAAGTTGACATTGACGAAACCAAACCAAATTGATCAATCCAAAGCCACCACAACCATCATTTGGACTCTAGTGACAAAGCTAGATCCACCTAGCCCACCCTATATGAGCCATGGACCAAAGGTCCCCTAAATTAAGGGATTTCCTTCCTAAAATGACTAAGCTAATGATATTTTTGCCAAAATCCATCACCAATCCAATTGATTAATCAAGGACAATGAACATATGTCATCCATCCACACATGTATCGATTTAATGGTTACAGAGGCTTCAGACGAGCGGACGGAGCAGAACAGCGGGTCGAGCCAGCACTAAGTCAGATGGCAGTGTTGAATCAGAAGACGCCACGTGGAGGCTTTGGAGACGCGTAGGTTGACACGGCGGCGTGTGCATAAGTAGAAATTTAGGGATTTTGGATAGAAAAATTATAAAAATCCATAACTTTAAAATTCCATAACTTTGCATAGAAAAATCATAAAAATAAAATAAAAATACCCTCTTGCTCAGCAAGTAGAGAAGAATAATGTGGACTAAAAATAAAAATTATTTGTTGAGCCCCTGATTTTTAATTAATTAAATGATCTCTGTGGTATTTTAATATATTTTGATTAAATATTGCTCATCTTGGCTTGATATTTTTAGAATTTGTTCCTCATGATAGAAGAGATGTTCTCTGATTTTTCTAAGGTTAGAGGGAATCTCTGAGCTTGTAACCCTAATTTCAAGCTTGGATGGCTATTTTGGTTTAAATTAATTATATAAATTAAAATATCACTTGAAAAATAATGGGATAAATTTTGAAGGTTCCGTATGGTTAGGAGCTTAGCAAAAATATCATGATGGTTTTAATTATTTTGTATATTTCTATTATTAATTAAATGCTTATAAATTGTATTAACTTATTTAAATTAAATAATACTAAAAAATTAATAAAATCTATTCCACATTGTGTAAAAAAATCATATTAACCCACTGGAAAAATTTAAAATTTATTTGATTAAGTTTGAGTACTAAGTTAATTTTATGAGAAAAAATGCATTTTGTGAAAAAAATATTTAAATTAAATTAAATACACTTAGGAGAATTATGAAAAGTAGTTTTCTGAGTTCCTTGTGATTAGGGGCACTTAGGATAAATACAAATTATTTGTGAGAAAACACTTCATTTTCAAGCTATATTTTAAATAAAAAATAATTTAAAAATTCCAAAATATGGTTTAAAACGTGCTAAATTGTTTCCTGATCACTTAGAACTCATTAAAATATATTTTTTTCCAATTTTCCTAAGTAAAAATAAAATTTTAAAGGCCTAAAAATGTATTTTCCTTATTTTTCATTAAAATAATTATACTAAATAAATTAAAAATCACCAAAATATAAAATTTATTTCTCTGATTTCTCTGGGCTTAGATAAATTTAATAAAAATATAAGAAAATATTTTTTGTAATTAAAACATATTTTTTATTTACTTAAGGCATT